GTGTGTGTGTGTGTGTGTGTGTTTGTGTGTGTGTGTGTGTGTGTGTGTGTGTTTGTGTATACATATATATGTGTGAGTGTGTGTGTATACATATATATGTGTGTGTGTGTGTGTGTGTGCGTATGTACATATATATGTAGATATATATGTTCTCCTGTGCGTATTTATTTTAGTTTTTGATTACAACCTTTGATCAGCATAGAACAATTTAATCATGTCCCAAGAAACCTTAGATTATAGAGATCAACACGAACAAGTGCAAAATGAAACGTTTGTTATAAATGTACCGGTTGTCCATACCTAAGTGCAGGAGACTCAAACTGGAAGCAACCGAAGACCTTGAGATGTCATAAGAAGCTTTCGCCCTCTTGTTGATGATTAATTGATTATGGATGATTACAAACTAAGAACAAGAACACTTATTTAGCATAAATACCATGGCAGCCTAGTTGTGAAGCATTTGTTGTCGTTGTGCAACGATGAAGTATAAAGGAAATCCATACATTCCACTGAAAAAGTAAAAACTGAATTAAAAATGTGACCTATCTCAAGATATTCGTAAAAAAACCCCATTTGATTTTGTTGTTTTTTTTCCAACTAATAAAATTTAAGAAAAATAATTTTAATTATAAAAAATAAACAACAGTGAGACTGTGAGAGCGATCAGTAAATTTTTTTGGTAAAACAAGTACAAACTCTGAATCAGTGTCACAGCCGCACAGCCTTCAGGACACGGGCTCACATCTCACAAGGCACAGCTGATGACTGATGACAGTGTGAGTCACCAGTCATAAGTCGCTGATTCACATACTCGCAGCTTCATAAGGCCGGCGGGGGGGGGGGGGCTCACAAAAGTCATTTTTTTTATTTTGTGGGCACACAGATGAAGTAATAATATTTATGTATAGATATGATAGGAAACCAGGCGTAGAGTGTAAAAACATTGTATTTAGTATGTATGTAGTCATTGTAGTGTAGTAGTGTTAAAAAAAAAGTGTAGACCGTACTCGGTAGTGTTTAGTGTATACTGGTGACTGTACAGTGGACAACTGGACACAGTACAACTGTGTAGATAAAAACTACATATTTACTACTACTATTTTTTAAAAATAGTAGTGGTGTAGTACATAGTATAGAGTATAGACTGTAGAGTGATTATTTTGTCAGGCTTTTTTACGAGGCGAAATACATAGCTACTAGTAGTAGAGAGTAGTAGTATTACAGGTCCACGGGCTACAGCCTTATAGCAGTTGAGGAACAGGGCCAGGGGTCAGTATATAGTCAGTGCATATTTACATACAACAATAGTTTTTTTAAAACAAAATTGAATCTGTGGACAGAACACTGAGAACAGTCGACATGACTCAGGCACTCAATCAGTCATCAGTTCAACACCCTGTGCCAAACTGCCAGTCGGTGAGACTGTGACAGACCTGCCACGGCAGTTTTGAAAGAAAGGCAGTTAGGCATTCCCAATTTCCCATTGTGCTATTTATAGATAGTACCTACGGATACGCTCTCTGTTAACGAAATGATGAAAAATGTCGTTCCCGAGACTCACATGATTGGGAAATTGCGTGACAACCAAAAATAGCACTCGAGTGTTCGCATAAAGCAGTTGCCCAATGCGTCATTTCAAAAATTCAGGACGAGAACCAGATAAAAAGTGGAGAGGTGAGAAACTATTCCACCAATCAACTTAAAGCAAACAAACGATTTATGTACCATATTCGTGATAAACCCGGGAATTGTCGGATACACTCTTTTTATTGGCTTTAGCCGCATAAATACCGAATTTTTGCGCGACAGCCCTGATTACTCTCTAGAGTGTTCCAACCTGCAAACGACAAAGTGCAAATTCAGAAGGCTTTTATTTATTTTTCAGCGATTAATTTTTAACTATATGCCCCAATGTTTTTTATTAGGTTCCTCTCTCTCCACCTCTCACTTGTAGTGAGTGTGACTGTAAATAGCTAAAATAAATATACACAACTAGTAGAGAGAGTGAGAGAGCGAGGCCTGATAAAAAATATTAACGTTGGGTACATACGACATAGTTAAAAATTATTCGCTGAAACCTAGGCTGTATACCCCTCTGAAACCTCGTTCGTGTTCTTGTGTGTGTTTATGTTGTTTTGCCTTCTTGTGTTGCGGCTTGCTGCAGTATAGCAAGAACCAGGCACCTGTAAATAAAAGTATGAGATGGACTAAATAAGGAAAAACCGGCGGGCTATCAGACAGTCTATAGTCTATACTCGTCTATCACACGACAGTGACGACCCTATTAAAATTGACTAATAATAATTGACCATTAGTTCAAATTTCAACATTGGTGTATATAACTGTATTTCGTTTCAGACTTTCAGGTTTTTGGCCAGAGCGGCATAGCCTTCTGAAAATTTGTTTAATTTTCAGAAGGCTATGTTTTGGCTCATTTTGATTTCCTGTTGAATTTTTAAAATATATTTTAGGAGAGGCTATATATGAATTGCATGGTTTTGGCTATTTTTTCAGTTTTGCGCGGGCGAATCGACTCTACCAACCAGAACCCATTCGCTCTGTAATAAGACCGTGGGTCCGTGAGTCTGTGTGTGCGACAGAATGTGGTTATTGTGGACTCAGGTGAGTCAGGAGTCAGGAATCAGGACTGTGACAGTGTGACCCTGTTGACTGTGAGTGTCTGTGACTGACTTTCACTGTCACTCACTCGCCCGGCAGGACGAAGGCCACAGCTCCGCAGTACATACCACAGCGAAGCTAAGGCGAAGTACCAACACTCGTCTTTTATTTAGAACAACAGATATTCAACAAATATTTTAAAATTGAAGCCCGTCACTCTCTATATAGATTGTTCAGAGTCGAGAACTCGAGGGTGTCTTTGCTGCGAGGCTTTCGTGCGCGTTAAATAGCACGCTATCTGACCCTCTGACAAACTTAGACATCGAATTTTTCAGAATCCTTGAGGCCATTCGGTTGTGTCAATTGTGTGGCATGGTATCTAAGACCTTGGTGATTCGTGTATTTTGGTTTCTAGGTCATTTAGTGGTTGTACAGGGAAGCTTTTCAAAGATATATCACATGCTCCTCCTAATATCTAGTGAGATATACTACTATAGATATCCTAATAAATTTGTATTTTTCCATCAGTGTAGGCCATCATGGAAAGACGGAATCATAGGGAGATCCACCTCGGCCAAGCGTAGAGACCCACTCTTTATTGAACCTTATATACATACTATATATATGTGTGTGTGTGTGTGTGTGTATGTGTATGTGTGTGATGTATGTGTATATATGTATCAATATATATATATGCGCGTGTGTGCGTGTGTACGTATATGTATGTATGAATGTATATATGTATATATATATATATATATATATATATATATGCATATATATATATATATATATATATATATATATATATATATATATATATATATATATATATATATATATATATATATATATATATATATATATATATATATATATATATATATATATTTGTATTCTATCTGCATGTACAGAGAGACTCATATGCGTTCGTACAGCAACATGTAGGCCGAGTCTGCCTGCACTGTCGAGAATTCCACGCGTCTCACTGTCTCATCGGACACCAAGTACCATTCATCACCCACATCATCCTCCCTAGTGGAGTGATCGGTATCCTCTCCATCCGCGAAAGCATTCAATGCCTTCGCAGAAGGTGCTTGCGTGCCTGTGTGTATGTTTGTGTCTGTGTTGGGCCCAAAGATATCGCTGGCATTTTTTTACCAGTGCGCGTGGTACGTTTATAGACGGTTCGCTTGCGGTTAAGACCGCTTGTGTTTTTGTGTTCATTTCCGGATTCGCCTCCTCTGTATGTAGCCTACTCTCGTCTGTACCTGTGTGCGTAGTACTGTCTGCGCTACCCCTAGCTTGGCCTACACTCGACGGCTCCTTCTTACTACGTGTAGTGTGGCGTTGCTTGCTTGCACACGCATCCCCACTCGTACCCGGCTCTTCGCACGCGCCGGAAGTGCAGGTTAGCCCAGGGGCCGTCGTGGCCTGTGGTGCTGGGTGGGCGGCTGTTGTGTGATGTGTATTGTGTGTTGGCGTGCGTTGAGTGGTGGATTGGGGTGTATGTGGTGCTGGGTGTGCGGCTGTTTTGTGATGTGTAGTGTGTGTTGGCGTACGTTGAGTGGTGGTTTGGGGTGTGTGCGGTGTTCCGTGCCCGAGTGTGTAAGCTGATGTGTGCGATACAACATCTGGTGCCGCGGGTGGTGCAGTCGGCTGTACGGTATGTTCTGCCGTACGCATGTTCGTATTCTCAGACAGCTCAAATGTGAACTGCGAGCTCGAGTGTGTGTCTGTACACCCACTCGTTGCCATGCGTATGGGACGTTGTACCGGCAATCTCCGATACGTATAGAAATGCCCGCCCAGATCCCCCCCCTGGTGGACCATGACCGCTACCAGTTTGTACCGAACATTACCACTCCCACTCCCACTCCTACCCTCCTCAGACGCCTCTCCGCGCTCCTGTCTACCCAACGCACTATACCCAGGCATGCCTGCGTATCTCATAGTATGTGCCATATCCGCATACGTCCTACTGTGTGTGTGGGTTGAGCCTCCTGTGAACGTAAGCGTGGAGGTCCTGGGCGTTTGATGCGGTGGGTGTTTGCTGCTGACAGCATATGGCAGCGTTAGCGTGTCTTCGAAGGTCAGTGAGCACCGGCTTTTGTACAGCCGGCCCAGGGCGGCATGGTACTGTAGTCTGTTTAATGTACGCAGACACCATAAATTGAGAATTTGAATTGGATACAATTGTAGTTTAAGGTAGTGTAATCGGCATTCAACCGTGGTGAGGTATATATATTTATATATGTATATATAAGTGTGTTCGGATCAGGAATCTGGGTGAAGGATTCACGAACACCCAAGTCATAGAGCAACACAATCACAGCCAAAGTAGATACGCATGCGTTACGGAAAAGGAATCTAACATCTGACTGACAGAGCGTGCGAGCATGTATCTATGAATCGAGATTAAGATGGAATACGTAATTTGAGAAACATGTGCGTGTATGAATATTTAATATACTTTGGGCTATACTTATCCTTGAGAAACATGTAAAAGTATGAATAATTTACATTGGGCCACTTTTCTGTGCGTAAACACGGAGGCTACTTGTATCCATGCACTCGAGTAAGTATGTCTATAGACATACAACGAATGTCTGGTCTTCTCGTCCAATACAGAAGGTCTAACATACACAGTACTGTATGGATCCGAACTTCTGTACAAGTATATATGCATGAGAGGATATATTTGAAATCCTTTATATACCAGCTAGTTGAAACAAACCGCTCGACATGCTTGCGATGCTGATGTATTGGCAAGATGACGACACTGGGGACCATTATTTTTGAGCGATTTTGTGGATTCGTAAATAAGATGTATATATATAGATATAGATATATATATATTTA